AGCGTCAGGGGAGGCGGAGGAGCGGCGCTGCGCCTCGCGTGAGGAGCTGCTGGCTCGGGGTTGCCCCTCAGGGGAGCTGGAAGAGCCCCACGGCCAGCAGGAGGTGCTGCAGGACCAGCCGCTCAGCCAGGGCTCCCGGGGCGGTGAGGGGGCCACTCAGCTGGCACCGCAGCGGGTGCGGGTCACGCTGCGTCCGGGTGAGTGAGCTGGGGCAGTGCAGGGGCAGAAGTCTGGGTGTGGATCTGAACGTGCCCCGCTGACCCCCACTGCCCTGTCCCCAGGGGAGCCCCAGCAGCTGCAGGTCCGCTTCCTCCGTGCCGAGGGGTACCCTGTGGACCTGTACTACCTTATGGACCTGAGCTACTCCATGAAGGACGACCTGGAGTTCGTGCGCCAGCTCGGGCACGCCCTGCTTGTGCGACTGCAGGAGGTCACCCAGTCCGTGCGCATCGGTGAGCGCAGCGCAGCCCCACCACCTGCCAGCCTCTGCCTCGAACTTGAACCGCTGCCTTAGCCTCTGTCAATGTCTTGGACACACAAGGGCCCCACCTGCCCTCTCCCAGGGTTAACGGGCCACAGGTTGCTGACATCTTCCCCCAAAGACACGCATCTTCTAGGTCAGAGCTGGAGGGGATTTAAGAGACTGCCCAGTGGGACCATTCATTTTACAGGGAGTGTAACTGAGGCCCCGAGTCTGGAGAGATGTGTTCAGGCAGCTCTCAGGGCTCAGCAAGTGCCCTGGACCTACCAACTCAGCTACTGCCCTGATGCCTCCGTCTCAGCCGTGTCTCTAAATGCCACTGCCCCTGGTTGCACATCTGTGCTCATCTCTTCTCCGTTCTCAGTCTCCTCCTTTGCCTCATGCTGCTGCTACACCTAACACTCCACCTTCTTGCTCAGCTTTCAGGAAACCCTTGCCTGACCCCCCCCCCCATTGTGTCCTCTTCATCTCCTCCCTCCCCCCACTTCCCTGAGCTGGTGGATTCAGCCTTTTACCCAGCCAGGTAGTGCAGGTACCGGGTCCCTGCCCTTTAGGAACACCTGGCTCCTCTAGGGCCCCCCAACCCCACGGACTCCTCCCTTCCTAGTCTCAGCAGTGGCCCTCCCATCCTGCTGCCGCTGCCCAGAGGCTTCTGGCACAGCTTCCATCCCTCCCCCATCCCCCTAGGCTTTGGCTCCTTCGTGGACAAGACGGTACTGCCCTTCGTGAGCACAGTGCCCTCCAAGCTTCGCCATCCCTGCCCTACCCGACTGGAGCGCTGCCAGCCCCCCTTCAGCTTTCACCACGTGCTATCCCTGACGGGGGATGCCAAGGCCTTCGAGCGGGAGGTGGGGCGCCAGAGTGTGTCTGGCAACCTGGACTCACCTGAAGGTGGCTTTGATGCCATTCTACAGGCTGCACTCTGCCAGGTAAGAAGGTGGGGCAGGAGTCTGAATCAAGGGCTGTTGGGGGCCAAGACTGCCACCTATCGTTGTGCAGTACATAGTTCCACAGGGTAGCATTTGTATCGTCACCATAGTTTGCGTATTTATTTTGACAATTTCCTAGTAAACTGAAGTAAAATGTCTTGAGGAAGAGGCACGTTTTCTAACTCACAAGAATGCTTCCACTAGCAGCAACCCTGGCT